AAAACTTAAGTTGAGTTAATTGAGACTTAAGTTAAGAGTGACGCATAAAATATTAAGGATCTATGTTTAACATAAATCTCATTAAAAATAAATAATGATGCCGTAACTGGAGAATATCATTTCTGGATACAGGGTCATTACATTTCATACATAAAAAAAAAAGTAAAAAAAATATTGAATAATATTTAATAAAATCTTAAAAAAATATTTAATTTTAAATGTAAATACTATCATTAAAAATATCATTATTCTTTTGCAACATTTTTCCTTCGTTTTATGCTTAAGAAAATGCTCAATAATAAAAAAAGATTTCCGTACAAAGAAATCTTCCTCAAATAGATAGATAAGTCATGAACATAAGTCTAAAATTATATTAAAAAAAAGTTTTAATTTCGATTATAATATCATATTATTAAATAATTTTACTATTTATTTTATTGCTTAGTATTTTCTGTCAATCAACATTTACAAGAGATTTAATATAATTCAACTAATAAATTTTTAGCTTTTTATCGTTTGTATGTTTCAATCACAAATCTTTCAATTTCCATATTGGATATATGTATGTTGATTTATTCATTGGTTACCAAATTGAAAAAAGATTTACAATACAGTGTTATCGAAATATGCAAATGATTAAAAAAAATTATTTATAATTTATCAATTGAATTATATTAAATTACATTTATATTAAATTCCATTAATGTAATATATTTCATAATAGATGATAAAAATATTTTTTAAAAATAATAATCAATTTTACTTATATTCTAAATTTTTACTTAATTATAAGTCAACATCTAAATAAATTTATTTTATAACTAAAAACTGAATTATATTATTATATTATTTATTTTATAAGATTGACTTCATTACCTAAAAAACAAAAATTAAATAAAAATTAAATATATTTAATTCATATTCCACTTTTATATTCAATTTATATTCATTTTTTCATATTGAATTATTAATCAATTATTCGTTAGAGATATAAAAAAATAATTTAGCATAATTAAAATACATACTAAATAAAGTTTATCTTATTAATTAAAAATTATAAATAATAATTATAAATTAAATAAATTAATTAGAATTTTTTATTTCATAAGGAAAAATTAAATTAAAAAATATTTTATGAAATAAAAAATTAAGATCATTTTAATATTTTTTTAATAAAATTGTTTAAAGTTAAAGTTCAAAGTAAATAATCATGCAATTTATGACTTGTCTATTCGAGAAGCATTTCCTCGAAAAGCGTTTCCTCCCTATTATTGTTAGATATGAATCCTTATTAAGTCTAAAATAAAGGATTAAAGATGAAAATAATGCGAAGACATTATGAAAACATTTAAAAAATATTTAGAATTAAATATTTTTTTTAAAATATTTCAGTTTGACTGAAATGCAATATGATCCTGAACTCAGGAATATAGGATAGCTCTTAAAGCAGTTTCAATGGCAATTAAAATCATCTTATTTTTTATTCCTATTCTCTGAAATTTATAGTAAATTCGCGCAAATTAGAGTTGGAATATTATATATTTTTGTATATTCGTTCTAAACCTAGTTCGAAATTCTCCTTAGGCTTGGAAGTTATTTTCAGGAAATTGATTTGCAGTGTCTTTATGTCTGCTACAATATATTTCATATACCTCTCAAATATTATGGAGGAATTTTTGTGAATATTAATCTTTTGCACTTTGTTAAAATTTCATTTTGTTTTAATATAATTGGACAGACATGATTATATATGTATATTGTCATTATATACAATGATTTGTATTATTATAATAGATAGTAATCTCATCATGTATATTGCACTTAATACAATTTAGTATTCATCATTAAGATGGAAAAACATATTTCATCTTTTCATTCACTAAATTCGACTATCACTCATTCGACTACAGACTTCAATCCATTCATGCATACATTAATATTTCATTACCTACTCAGTTTCGCAGTTACAAACACAAATATTTAAACACAAATATTTAATATTAAAGCATAATAATGCAAAGAAAATTAAAAAAAAAATATAATAAATTCAATTATCTTAATAAATCAGCTAATCAATGTTAGTGATCGGGAAAAGTAGAAATTGAATAGTAAATACATTGATTCGATGATACATTATTTTCATGTATGTAATTTTTCAACATTTTATCTATAATTAGTTTAGTGTTACGCATAAATTTGTCGAAAATTAGTTTAATATTTAAGGAAAGATAATCAGAATATTATCAGTATTTTTTTTAGAAAGAATTTAGAAAGTATTTTTTTTTAGAAAGAATATCTAAGAAGAGATGACACAATAACACATTTCAAAGCTCCAGTTGAATTTTCAGTGAGTAACTAACTTTATCTACTTAATTAATTTTATTTAGAGTTTTTTTTTTTTTATAGTAAGTTTTATAATCATTTTTTTATAATGTATTTTACTGATTTTGAATAGCAATTTAAATTCAATTTATTCATCCTATGCGAATAATAATTAATTAATTTATTATTACTCATCATTGTTCATAAATAAGATATAATTCAATATAATTTATTTAATATATTTTCTTCGAAAAATACTTGATTGTTCGAGTTCAGCTAATAATCGTTTTTTTATAATGTATTTTATACGCATGGCTAAAGTCGGCTTTATTAAATTTCATTTATTTAAAAAGAATTAATAAAAAAAAAGCTTGAAATTATCTCAGGAATCATCAATTAATCGATATTTTCTTTTTTTAAGATATGTATATGTATAAATACATATATATTATATTACATATCTATAGATATATACTGCTGAAAAGAAGATATGGCTAAAAAGAATCCTTCGCTAAAATCGCCTATTTCCATTTTAAATGCTTTATTGATAATCCTAACATTACACATTATATAGTAGTAGAAGAGCCATAATTTGAATATTAATTAATATTCAAAATCGTAAAAATTATGAAGTTACGTTAGAATAATCATCTAAAAGGAAATTGAAATATTTTCGAAACTATTAATTATTTTAATATATTTATTATAATTATAATTATAATTAATATATTTATAACTTATTCGTATACATACAATTATTAGCTTAATTATCTTGAATATGAAATTACATTTATAAATTAAACTATTGTTACAAATCATAATTAATCTATATATATTATGAAAACTAAAAAAATTTATATTATATTTTATTTTATATAAATTTATATTATATTATAATTTTATATTATATTGATACGGTAAAATATTTCTGGATCCTATGCTTATGCTAATGTATTGAGATTTAGATACAAATCGTCATTTTGGTAAACTTTATCCTCTCTCTCACAATCGAATTAATATGTGATAAATATACTAAAAATAAAAATGCGTGTGAAAATAAACATTTCCTTTCATATTAACCAATCAGACGTACATTCCTTTCAAGAAATCCTTCTTCCCAACAGTACATATATAGAGTGTTTATAAAAATGTGAAATATATTTGGATGGGAAATTTTAAACATCAAAATGATGAAAAAACGTTCACACATATGTTTGATTCTTAATTAACAAATTATAAGCATTTTAAATTTATATTAGAATGAAACGGCAAAAAAGTGAAAATACTTAATTGAATATATGAGTATTATATTACAATGTCACTTATTTCTTTATAAAAGTAAATGCACTGATATTCTTTTATATACAAATAACTATTTCAAATAAATTTCAGTGTAATATAATATGATGTACATATTATATAATTTCTTATTTAATAAAAATCTATTTCAAATAAATTTTAGTAAATTCCAGAATATTACCATATATATCATTTTTTTTTTTTTATTTTTTTAAATCTTTATTTAAATCTTAACTAAATCATTTTATGATATATTTTATTTAAATCCATAATTGAATTATTATATAACAATTCTTTATTTATCGAAATCCATAGAAGCAAATCAAAACACACTTCCATAAGATTTTAGATTAGAAAGGTTGAATATGTTTTTTTACACACAAAGTTATTTATCTTCACATATACAAGAAATTAATATTTGAATCAATTTGAATTTCACAAATTAATGCATCAATTGAAAAATCTTTATCTCTATTTTATTTGAATTAAATGTTTTTTATTTCGATATGAGATTACTAAAAAATAATAATCGAAATTCAATATCTATATTTTATATCATATTAATATGTGTTTTATATTAAAAATCATATAAGCATTGCATTTTTCTTTTTCATGTTACTATTGTATATTAGCAATATTTTTTTTATTCATTATTTATATTACTTTCTATGAATAAAATTATTTCGACTATTATTTATTATCAATTTAATTTTATATGAAAATTATTTGAACTTTATTTTAAATAAGTATTCAAACATGTATTACTTCATCAAATTTGATTCATAATGTTATTGAAATAGCTTACTAACAATTGATTGCTGATTATGGGCATTAGAAAAAAAGATTGATAGATTGATAAAAAGATTTGACAGAAAGAAAAAATAAGATAATAATATTCGAAATCGAATCTTATACTTATATGTATTAAATATAAGAATACGAAAATCTAAATCAATAATCTTTCCCATTGCTAAGATGTATTGTGTATGCTTTGTTCTGATCTCAATTCATTCATTCATAACATTTGCTTAATGTATATCAAAAATAAAAGCATAAAAAAAAAATTAGTGAATTTATAATATTTATTTTGAACATTTTAAAAGCAATTATAATATGTACGCATTTTTTATGAATATGTAATATTAATGTGTAATATTGATTCATATTATGATATCCAGATCGACTATTATTTTTTTTTGTATAAGAATAAAAAATATTGAATGCAAATGAAATAAAGATTCAATAATGATTTGTTAGTAATTTGATTGGTTCATTTAATAATCTGGAATTTAAATTGATTCAATTATTGATATCATTAGTATTTCAAATTTTCTTGTACATGTGAAAATAATTAAAAAAACAATTGTGTGTATAAAAATATATTCAACGTTTCTAATTCAAAATCTAATAGAAGTGTATTTACTTCTATAGATTTCGACAAATACAGCAAATTGAATGAAATATATTTATCGATTTATCTATTTTAAATAAATAAAATAATATATTGTAATCATCCGAATATTATAGAATTTATTATAATTTATCCGAGGTAAATTTTTGTTAAATAACAAATTACATAGATTTCAATTTGCATAATTAAAATTTTTTTTAATAAAAATATAAATTTGTATTTAAAAAAATATTAGTGTATTCATTTTTATTGAGTACTCGCTACGCAAGCGACATTGCAATATGCTATTGCCATGCATCTAGCTAAGCGTTCTCGCTTTTTCGCCGTTTCATTTTATCTAATACAAACTTAAAATGCTTATAATTATATCGTTAATTAAGTGATATCAGATATATGTCTAGATTAACTTTTTTCATCGTTTTAATGTTTAGAATCCAAAGATATCCCATTTTTCTAAATACCCTGTATATCATATACAATCGAACTCGATATAGAATTATAATAATCATAAAACAGTTTTGAAAAATCAATATGAATCAAAACTGATATATTCATAAAAAATATATTTTGGTTTCTATAATAACTGTTTCAAGGATTGAAATCGATATCATAAGTATTTTGTATTTCTAGATTCTGCTTCATAAATAATATAATTGCATTAAATTTTAATTATCATAATCAATATCAATAAAATAACCGCTTATATTATAATAAAATAATTTAAAAAAGTAATCTTTTGACAAATTCATTATCTATATTTTATATAAAATATATCTCATAATTCAATTAAACTAATTGTAGACCAAGCCTAAGCAACTGGCAGCTTGCGAATCGCATGCGACTTCTTTTCCGAATCTTTCTATCACATTCCTGTAGGGAGACTAGAGAATCTATATTATATATTTATTGTATATATTATATATATTATATATTTATATGGAAAATATGAAAAGATAATATAGATTATCAATTATAGATATACTATTTAGTAAGAATTGAAGCAATGATGAGAAAAAACTTTGTCCAAACTTAATTTAAACTATACATAAATTAATAATTTTAATACTAAAATTTTTTATATAATCAAATACTAATTAATTTTAATATACTTTGTTCAGTATTTAAATAAAGTTAAAAAAAATCTTAATTAAAATGATCAAATACAATTATTTATTAAATAATTTTTTATCTTATGTATTTTTAATTATTATCAAAGTTAATTTTAAAGTATTAAATAATCAATAATGATTAAGTTCCAATACAAAATTAATTTAATATTTTAAAATTTAAAATTTATATAGTATGCATTATAAATAAATTATTATAAACTGGAAACAAAAAATTATTATATTTGTTTGTATTTTTCATTAAAACTGATTTTTATGCAAAAAAACTTTCTAATTAATAATTAATTATCAATTTCAAATTTTGCTTTTCTCTTTTTTATTGTTTCAATTTATTTTGTCCTATTATATTTATATTTATTGTTTTGTTTTCTTTAATTTATGATACAATAATTTAATACATATTATTATAAATATGAATTATTTTTCATTTATAAAACATTGAATTGGCGTTTTTATTTTTCAAACATAGTAGTCAAGAGAAAATCAACATATAACATTATTCAATTTTCAAATGTTGAAGCTATGAGATAATAACTCATGTTGTATTTATCAAACCATTATTGAGTAAATAATAATTATTATATTTATTTGATTTTATTTTTATATAATATTATTATAAATGCAATATTTTACATATATTCTGAAAATGTATAATAATTGAAGTTCAATCTATTTTGCAATAATACTGTTAATAATGTATTATTTATCATTTTAGTTGTTTTAATATATTAAAAACAATATAATTTTAGTTGTTTTAATATATTAAAAACAATAATATATAATATATTTATAAATATTTAATATATTTCTACGAAAATTATTTTATAAGTTTTTTATATATTATGATTATGTATGTAAAATTACAATATTTATAAATACCTACTTATAATTTGTAGATTAACAGTTCTTGGTAACGTTCTGAAAATTCCATAAAATCATAAAATAAAAAAGAAATACCTGGAATATCGGCATATTGGTGACCTGCGTGGGCTTCTTGAACAGGACCTAAAAAAAGTAAGAAAAACTATTGTATGTTTCAAACTGTTAATATGTTCCTGATCACCATGTTTCACTTTGATTTCTTTCTTTTATTTACTCGCACCTGAAAATTGCAATTAACAAATTAAGAAAAATCTTACCTTGGATAACGACCCAATGATCTCCTTCGGGGACTGCGAGATCTGGACCTATAAATTTGTCAAAAAAATATATATAATATATAAATCCTGTTATTCATTAAGCATATTCACAAAGAAATTACAATGAGGAAAATAATTGAATTATAAATGCTATTTCTGCTATAAAAATTGTCCTAACATTTTCTCATGCAATATAATTAATTACTCTTTGGCTAACTTCATAAATTTTCAAATTTTATCTAAAAATTTTTGTTTTAATATTTAATATATTTTAAATATCATTATTTTAATTCATCAAATCTTTAATTTATTATTTATGTAAGAATAGCCAAAAGAGCAAAAAGATTAAATTGTTTATGATAAATGTAGTATATTTTATTTTATTGTATTCTTATATAAAATAATTTTTTAAAATATCAATTCAAATTCTTTTTGTGCATAAAAAAATTCATTAAAACTCGTGCATTATTTTTTAACATCCTTATTTAATAACTGTACTATAATATCTACTTGGTAAAATACTTAAACATCTGCAGTTCAAATATAACATATTGATTTAACATTAAAATCTCTTACCTGGAATATCTTGGACCTGGTCTTCGTCCACCACCTCCACGTCTACTTCTTCCTGAAGACATTTCTACTCTCACTCTAGTTCCACAACAGCGTCTATAAAAATACAATTATATTATTAAAATTCATAATTATTATTTTATTAATTATTTTATAAATATATATTAAGAATTATTATCATTTAACACTCACGTTCCATCTAATCCCCTAACTGCATCTTCTGCATCTCGTGGATCTTCAAATTCTACAAAAGCAAATCCTGGTGGATTTCTAGCAACCCACACATTTCTAAGTGGACCATATTTACTAAATGCACTTTCAATTTCATGTTTACTAGCACTATTTCCTAAATTACCGACATAAACTTTACATGAAAGATCCCATTCACGATAACGTGACATTTTCGTCTGCAAATAACAAATATTTTTTCTTTAATATTAAAGTAAATTGCAATCAATTAATTCGTATTTTAAATACATACATTTTAAAAAAGAAAGTATTCCATGTATATAGATATACTATTTCCTATATAGATTCATTTTGAAATTTAATAACTGATGAGAAATTAGCATCCGCATTAATTTAGATATAATTTAGATATAATTTTATAAAATATCGATTAATAATAAAAATAATATCGTATAATATTAATAACATAAAGTGAAATATAATATATATATATATATATATACACATATATATTGTTTTATAATTAATCTTAATCTTATATAATAAACTTATGAATAAACAATCTAATTTATCACAACTTGTATTGAAATGAAAAATTTAACATACCACCATGTTGATCTCTCAATTTACTGCAGTAACAAACTAATTATATCAATTCGAATATTGAATCAATATTTAAATTTATCAAAAAAATTTTATATCATTTGCAACATTGTTGTATATAACGATTATTTTGTTTTAATTATTATTTGAATAAGTGTACGAATATCATGAAAGATAAGAATTTAATTGGACACAATAGAAATTTTGAAAAAATTTCCCTATTCACTTACAATATTTTTAAGAATAAATATGAATGTAATGTTTTTAATTAAATATATTTTACTTACATTTTTAAATGGATAAATTTATTAAATAGATTAAAAAATCTTGTAATAAACACAACTGTTCTTTCAACTACAAATATAATAGTAAGTATAGCAAAGCTAAAAAGTTGGCATCAGAATAAGAGTTCTTTATATGTTCATCTTTAAGGCTAGTTCAGACATGTTTAGTAATTTAGTCGAGTTACAAGCAACTAAGTAAATCGATTTTATACATAGGAAAAGGTCCAATTAATATATTTGAATTTTGAAAATCGAAGGAGATAAATAATGAATTCCAATAAATAAAATTGTTTAAGATTTAATTGAAGTTGAAAATATACAAAGAAAACTTCTAAAAAAAAGAAAACAAAAAAAGTAGTATATGGAAATATATAAAAATATTTATTTATTTATCTATCAATAACGATATATATTTATTAAATTATATATTATATATTATATATATTATATATATTATATATATTATTATATATTATATATATATTATATATTATATATATATTATATATTATATATATTTATAATATATTCATAAATGAAAATATAATTTATGAAAAAATGTTTTTATTTAAATATAACTTTTTATTCGAATTTTTTCTAATAAAAAACAAAACTATAATTTTAAATACATAATTATTATTATTAATAATTAATAATAATAATAATAATAATAATAATAATTTTAAAAAATTCCAATAATTTTTCAGACATAATTTTCAGTTTCATATTTTTTTGAACTAATAACGTTTGAATTTATTATCACTTTTTATTTTATTATAAAATTGCTTATATGTTATATTTTTATAATTATATGATATTCATTATTTTGAAACAATTTTTCTTTTTTGCTCATAATATTTTATCATTAAAAATATATAATTAAATAATAAATAAATAAAAATAATAAATAATAAATAAATATAAATAAATAATAAAAAATAATTTTTCTATTTTTCTATTATGTTCTAATATTAAAAAATTATAGTACTAAAAAAATAATATTGGCAAATTTTCAATTTTCTTTAGAATAGAATTGTAAACTATTTGATTGTTTAAAATTTATCCATTTTAAATTTGATGACATTTTTTAAATATAAGAAAAAATAAAAAGAAAACAAAAAATAAATCATGAAAAAAAAACAAAAAGAAATTAAAATAAAAAAGAAAAATGAGTAAAATCCGAATGAAAAAAAAAATATGTTTTCTTAAAAACAGATATCTTTCTGATATTATTGAAAAATTAAATGAACTATAAATTGAAAATATGAATTGGTATCCATAAAACGTTAATCCATTCTGCTTTGGACGGAAAATATTAAAAATAAAATCTTAAATTTTTAATGTTAGATACTTTTATTTATCAAAAAAGACTGTTTTGAAATTTAGGAGATCTCATGTTCGATGAAAGATTTTATGCTTAATGTTAATTGTTTTTTTTTTTTGCAGAATTTTTTATTAACTTGTCAATTTATTCTTCCAATTTTTCTTTTAAAATTTCAAAATTTTTGGATTGTTTTAATTTAATAGTTAGTTGAGGCCCTATATCTTAATGTTTTTTTTCCCATCCTTAAACGTATGAGAGTGAAATAAAATATTATACAATCATTACAAAAGAATGATGTGAAGAATCGTATTTAATCTTAAAAAACAATTTAACTTGATTAAATAAATTAATTTAATAAATTAATTAAACATTTTAAATATTTTTAAATGGATTGAGTTTGACTTCGAATTTTTTTAATGAATATTTGAACAATATCTATTTTATATTTATATCCATTTAACATTTATTTCAAAAACATATTTCATTTTCTCTTTTTTTATTGATAGCATTGAAGCTTTCATGGAATCAATTTATAATATTATTAAAATCGAATTTATAGTAATAGCATAACTCTATAAATAAAGAAATATCCGGACAGATTTAAGATAGATAATTAATTATTAATGAATAAAAAGAAACCTATTCAATCAGAAAAATCTAAGGAAATAGATCTTTTCGACTAAATCGTTTTAATCTATTCGTTTTAATTGTTTTAATTTAATTAAATTCTAGTATACATATACAATAAATTATTAAATTATAATAAAAATTAATTATTATATAATAAAAATAAAAATTATTCATTACTCGATTAATTTATTTTATTCTCCTTCTAATAGAATTTTAAAAGTCACAGATATATATATAGAAAAGACTTTTGTCTTTATTTCATCTTCTTATTTTACACGCCCTTTTTGAATAATAATATTATTTTCTCATTACAATTTTTTCATATTTCAATCTTTTCTTATATTTGTGTACTTATACTAAAGTATTAAAAATATCAAAAATATATTAAAATAATATTCTCAATATGATAGTTCATCTATTTACATCTTATAAAACTTTATATTTATAACTTATAACTTTATATTTTTATTTATTGTATTATAGTTTTTTCTATTTATTCTTACATCTATACATATAAATTTTATATCTATATAAATAAATTTTTATAACATTTTTGTAAAATTTTTGTAACAAGTTTTATATTCATAACTTTCATATCTTTTTTTTCAGAAGCTCTAAACTTTATATAAATATTAATCTCATTTATATATAATATTTTTTTTTCAATTTTTATGTTTAATCTATTATATTAATAAGTTATTCATAGATAGATTATAGATACTCTTTAGCAATCTTTCCATTTCTTTTATACATTATATATCATTTTTCAAATAATCTTTTCTTTTATTTCTTCCTTCTTTCTTATTTTCTCTTCTCTTGAAAATTCTTTTTTTTTCTCTTTTGTTTTTTGATCTGTTTTGAATATTTATCATTGAATCCTTTTAAAAATCTTTCAATTTTTTAAAGGGATTGTCCTTTTCTTGAATTTCTTTTTTATTGTTTATTAGATTTCTTTTTTATCTTTAATAATAAAAAATTACTTATATTATTTTTCTTATTTAATATATAATGTTTCTAAAAATTTTGTTATAGATTCAATCTTTTCAGTTTTTAATTTCCTAATTTTTATTTTTTTATACAATTCTGCTTTTATTTTTTCTTTGTAAAGTTGACTATTTTTGTTTTTTGCTGATATTTTTAAATCTATTTTTTTTTAATTTTCTATTAAGTTATTTAATGTTATTATTTATTTATTATATTGTTGTGATACATATATATGATACATATGTCAGTATACTTTTTTTATATTTTTGTAATATCTAATATTGTGTAATATGTACATATACATAGTAGTATGTAGTATATACATATATATGTACATATAATATATTATATATTAGAAAGAATTGAATAATTTTCTTTTTTGTTTCTTCTTTTTTTCTTTCTTTTGGAGAATTAAGATTCCTTATATATTTTATTTTTCTATATAAATAAATTTATTTTTTTTTTTAATTTTCATTTCAAATTATTTGAATTCTTTTTTTAATTTTTTCATTAATCTTTCTCATTCAAATATTGCTTTTTTCTTAAATTTTTTCTTTTTTGTAATTTTTGTGAAAAAATTGATATTTTTTCTTCTTCTTGCTTTTAATATTTTATTTATATCTTCTCTTCTATAAAAGATAAATGACATATTACATCTTATTATTTTTCAATGAATTTTTTATATTAATGGTAATTTTATATAATTTTAATAGATTTTTCTATTGTTGTATTAAGACTGTTTTTTTTTAAGCTTATTATATTATATATATATGGGTGGCAATGGTCCATCTAGAATAGTCATTTAAATCTTTTTCATTTGTAATATAAAAAATATATTTTAGAATTATATTATATATTATTTCTTATATATATATATATATATATATATATATATATATTATTTTTCATACAATTTATATGATATTTCAAAACAAATAATTTGCAAAGAATATTTTTTTCCCAAAATTTTTTTAAATTTTCAAAATTATCAATGTTTTTTCGCATAAGTATATATTTTTTTTTGCTTACTTGTAATTGATACTAAAAAAAATTCTGAGCTGTAATAACATGACTTTAAAATAACTTTTGACTCTCAAAATTGAAATTATATATGAAATTTATTTCCAATATTTATATTTATTTATTTTCAATCTTAATAGCAAAAGCTTATAAAATGTAAGTAAACATTATCTAAAATCAGACTATTATTAAATTATTAAATTAAATAATTATTATTATTAAATTTATAAACAATATATCATTACTTTTTAATTACAATATTATGTTAAATCGTCAAAAACGATGTTTTTATATTAAAAGAAATATTTAAAAAATGAAGATAAAATAATTAGAATTTATAGCCATAAGTTTCGAAATCATTAAAAGATCGAAATCATTAAAATCTATCATTGATCATTTCAATATGTATATCTATAGAGAGATATTATTTCTAAGTATTTGACAATATTGTAACTCAAAAAGATAGTAATACATGACTTACTTATTACATTACATATTTAATTAGACTTAATTATTACATTTTTAATAATAATCAGTGATCAGATCTTTTAGACAATATTTACTTATATATGCAATATTTACTTATAAATTTTCATTGCTAACTTAATTTCTATAAAAAAAAATTTTGGTACATAATTTTGATTTTAAGACTTAAAGATCACTTTAAAATTATGTCATTATTTTCTTTGAATGTATTTTAATATCAATTATAATATATAAAGGAAACAAAATATTTACTGGTAACTTTAAAAACTTTAATAAATACTGGTAACTTTAAAAACTTTGAAAAAAATAACTTTGGAAAAAAATATTCTTTGCAAACTATTCGTCTTTATTCATATTATGTATTTTATAGGAAAAATTCTTTAAAAAATAATATAATAAATTATTTATTATAATAATATAATAAATAATATATACA